TGATTTTTGGGGAATTATAAAACATTCTGGAGACATTTTAAATGCTTTTTGTGTAGTTCATTATACTTATTTTACAGAATGAAGTTTATTTTTTGTGGCTTAAATAAATTACATGTTACTCAGAGACTGACATATTTGGCTTTTTTCCTGAAAAGTTAGTAACTAATGTTATATCCTGGCATATGTGTAGGCGGAGCGCATAATTTGATTCACCTGTTTGTTTGACCAAGCTAACCCGCTGGCAAACAGCCATCTGTAATAAAAGCAGCATAGCCAGCGTCCCCATCATTACAAAGTACCACTGGTTTCTCCATGTCCTGTAAAATATTAAGACAGTCAATTTTATTGTCAGCAACTCCGGGATGAGCTTCGAAGAACCAACCAATCCAAGATCATGCCAAATCGTCAACAGTCAAATCCAGCTAACTGAGTTAGCGATGTACATAGAACAGACCCCTGAACATGAAATACCACAAATAATTGAGAAAGAATCAATCAATTCAGGTAGTTCGTAGAAAAAACACTCCTCACATTACTTTCCATGCATAAAACAAAGCATATGAATAAAGGTCCATTGACAAACAGGAAAGAAAGTCCTCAATAATAAAACCCCAGAATAGTCATTTGCCCTTGCTTCCTTTGCGTTATCTACCTGTATAAAATACCTAACTAACTATACATTCATATAAAGGGAGATAGTTGAAAAATATTATCTGTAGTCAGATAAGTCAGTCTAGCTAAGGACTTACTACAGCAACTAATGCCATTATAACACAGGTACATTTTAATATATATATATATATTTTTTTTCTTTTTTCTCTCTAATAATCGAGTATGGTACATGGATAAAGAGAAATACTGCCAAAATGTTCTCTGTAGTAAATCAGTAGTGTAATCTAGTGGCCACTATGAACCTACTACAACCTTTGAAATATGAATATAACATTTAGGTGAATTATAGTGATTTTGTATGTTAAAACTCATTTGAATTAATGACAGGACATCGCTTACGTCTTTGCACTGTGGGTGGAAAATTCAGACGGTTCCTTAAGCAGCAGGCAAATAGTATTCGCTACAATGTGCATTAAATGAAACTGGGTCATAGAAGGACATAGAACCTTTACGATCCATTCATGTACTTTATGGGAATAAACCAACGGATGTATTTAGTGGATTTTACCTGTCCGCATCATTATGAACACATCCCTGTATAACAATCATCTCTCCTGGGTGAAGACCACCCGGTATAATCTCAGTGAAGGGGATTGTCTGATGAAAATCATAATAAAAAAACGTTCATAACGTTCAAAACACAATCCATCCGCATTATTTTTCAGTCTAGGTTACTGTTATGATGAGCGAAACAGAATGCTAACAAATCCGCAGATAGGCTAAACACTTGTCTTCGCATGTTATTTTAGGCTATGCTCATTTGTAAGGTCGTCTCAAATTCATAAATCTACTTACCGGATTGAGAATCGTCCGTTTTGCATTTGCCACTGACATTAAAATTCCTGTATTTAGCAATTAACAGTAATATACTTAAAGGCGTGAATTTGAAAAATAACGTCTTGTTAAAACCCCGTTTCCTCCACTGACGAAGTAAAAGGCTCAAAAACTACGGAACTAAAACAGCATACTTGAGCATCATTTTGTATGAGGTGCCAGAATGGACAAAAATGAAGGGAACGCGATTTAAATGTTCGGTTAGAATACATGACACTCCTTTAACAACAACAACCATAGTAACAACAACATCAATAATAATAATAATAATAATAATAAT